ATCCTCCTGCCCCAGTGTCCCACCCTGGGGACATCCTCTGGCACCAGGGACATCCTCCTGCCCCAGTGTCCCACCCTGGGGACATCCTCCTGCCCCAGGGACACCCTCCTGCCCCAGTGTCCCACCCTGGGGACATCCTCCTGTCCCAGCTTCCCCCTCCTGCCCCAGTGTCCCACCCTGGGGGTCCCCAGCTGGCAGAGCCCCCCTCCCCAGGGTCCCTGCCCCACCTGGCCGTTGTACTGCTTGCGGTGGGTTTTCTTCCACAGCTCCCACTGCCTGTCCAGTTCTGGCTCCGGGTGCAACTGGGCCAGGGCCACAGGGACCAGCAGGGCCAGCAGCCACCACATCCTGGGGACCAGCTGAGCACTGGGAATGGGGCAGACACTGAGCCGGGGGGCTGGGGGAGGGAAGGACTCTATGCCCACCCCCATATCAGGTATGGGGGGCTGGGCCCTGTGCCGACCCTCCTTTGGGACTAGGACCCCCCTGCACACCCTGCCTTAGGGCCATGGCCCCCTGCACACCCTGACTTGGGGCTGGGATCCTCTTCCCACCCTAGTTTGGGGTGCTGGCCCCCCCCTGCCACCCTAACTGGGGACTGGGCCCCTCTTCTCACCCCGGTTGGGGTCTGGAACACCCTGCCCACCCTAATTTGGGGCTGGAACCCCTATCCAGCCTGATTTGGGGCTGGACCCCCTGCCAAGCCTAGTTGGGGTCCAGGACACCCTTCCCAGCCTGATCTGGGGGTCTGAGACCCCCCGCCCACCCCGATAAGGGGCCAGGACACCCCCGTGGCAGCGCTGGCCGGGCGCCGGCGTCACATGAGCCGGCCCAGCTGGTTCCCATTACAGCGTCCCTGTCTTTCCGGCAGCTCCGAACCGTGGAGAACCAAACTTTGGGGTGCAGGGGGAGTAGGCAGGGGGGTCCCAGCCCTCCTGCCCCTCCCTGGCTTCACCCACCGGCTCCCAGCACCCAGAGCCCTGTGGGGGAGCAGGGACAGGGACACCAGCCCGCAGCCCCCCCAGACGTGATGTTGCCTCAGTGTCCCCCTTTGTGCCTCTAAAGGTCCCACATGGGACCCTCTTCCCTCCCATTCCCACTGGGATCCGTTTCCCTGGGGAAAAAGCCTCCCACCGCCCCACTGGGTCTCCTGCCCAGCCCTGGGACCCCCTCCCTCCTCCCCCTCAGGGCTCTTACCCCAGCATGGAGCCGTCGGTGGGAGTACTGGGAGCACTGGGAGCACTGGGAGTGCCGGGCCGGGGCTGCTGCACTTTTATGCCGCTGGATGGATTGAGGAAGTTCGGAGGCAGCCGGAAAATTTGGGCAGGCGTCGGGTCTGGATGGGGAGGGGGAGGGATCGAGGGGACGGGGAGGGGGGACGGGGGGGCTGCCCCGGCTTCACGTGATGCTGCAGGGACGGGCTGAGTCAGCCCCGGCGCGGGGCTGCTGCCGCTGGGTCCTGTCCTGGGGACACCCCTGTCCCAGCGACATCCCCGTCCCAGCGACATTCTCCTGCCCCCGGGACACCCTCCTGCCCCACTGTCCCACAGCGGGGACACCTCCTGCCCCAGGACACCCTCCTGCCCCAAGGATCCTGGTCCCAGGGACATCCTCCTGCCCCAGGGGTGTCCCACCCCACCACCCTGCCCCAGGACACCCTCCTGCCCCAAGGATCCCGGTCCCAGGGATGTCCTCCTGCCCCCCCATCCCACCTTGGGGACACCTCCTGCCCTGGGGACACCTCCTCGACCCCGAGTCCTCCCCATGGCCGGGCAGGACAGGGCACTGGTGCTCCTGGGGACCCCCGACCCCCCCCCAGCACCCTGGGGTGAGGGGGCTGAGCACCCACCGCCTCCAGGAGAGGCCGGACACGGCGCATCGGGGGCATCGGGGTCATCCTGTGACAGCAGGAGCAGAGCACAGGAGCCCATCCCTGTCCCCAGGGTCCCCAACCCAGGCAGGCCCCCCCCGTGTGCCCAGTTTGGGGGTGCCAGGCTGGCCCCCGAGGGGGAAGGGGGGCCCAGACGGTGCTTTCTGCCCGGACCGTCCCCCCCCATCACGCGGCTCCTGCGGGACGGGGCGGAAGGTCCCGGTGGCACCAGTGCCCTGTGCCAGGCGTGGGGACATCGACATCATCATCGTCACCGTCACCGACACCCCCCGGCCGCGGGCACCGGGACGGACCGTCCTGGGACCGGGACAGGGCAGAGCGGAGGGGATGGGGCAGCACCAAGGGGGAAGGGGGTCAGGCTGGAGCCCCCCCGACCCCCCCCGTGTCACCCCCTGCCCAGGGGGGTCCCCGAGAGAGGGGTCACCCCCCGTGTGACCCGGCCCGGGGGGGCTGAGTCAGCCCTGGGGCTCCAGCACAGAATCATCGCCCCGAGCACGAGGCCCTGACGTGGCCGTGTGTGACTGAGGGCACCGGGGGCACCGGGGGCACCGGGGGCAGGGCAAAAAGGGGGGGAAAGGGGGGTTTGGGGGGGCAAACTGGGGGGACAAGCAGAGTTTGGGGGGCCAAACTTGGAGAGGGGACAGGGTTTGGGGGACAAACGGGGGGGACATGGGTTTGGGGGGGACAAACTGGGGGGATGGATGGGAGTTATGGGGGACCAAAGCAGGGGGGGCACAGGGGTTGTAGGAGGGTCAAATCAGGGGGATGGGGATTTAGGGGGAGAAAGGAGCAGGGGATGAGGATTTGGGGGGGGGCAAATCCAGGGGAGTCAAATGGGGGTTTGGGGGGACCAAAGCAGGGGGGGACAAACAGAGTTTGGGGAGCCAAACTTGGAGAGGGGACAGGGTTTGGGGGCCAAACTGGGGGAACAGGGGGGTTTTGGGGGCCACAGTCCTTCGAGGGGGGGACAGAGAGAGGCAGAAATGAGACAAAGCTTTGAAAAAGGGAAAAAAAAAAATCTCTTGTTGTAAAAAATCTCTGCTGCCCAGAATTCCCGGGATGAGGAACTCAGGATTGGGACACATCCCGGGGGGGGTTTGGATCCTGCCCCCCCCAAGTGATTGTTCAATAAAATCCCCCCCAGGGACAAACAATGCAGTTCCCAAAGGGGGGTGAAGGGCCAAAGTTGTGTCCCACCCCTGTCCCTGTCCCCTGTCCCCCACCCTGCAGCCCCTCCCAGTCCTCATCCTCCTTCCCAAGGGATTTGGGCTGCTCCAGCTGGTTTTCTTCTCCCAGGAGTTGGAAAAACGGGGAGGAGGGGGGTGTTTACACCCGAGTCATCCACAAAAGCTCCGGGAAATGGGAATTTTCCTCCTCCTCCTCCTCCTCTGGCAGCTCAAGGGGGAGGGCCCGGGATGTGACTGGGGAGGAGGATCTTGCTGGGAGAAAAGTCCCTGGATCACAGGACAGGGGTGGGTCACAGGATGGCTCCAAGTGGGATGTTCCCACTTTTCCATAGAGAAATTTGGAATTAAAAAAAAAAAACCCCAAACAAAACCCCAAAAAAACCCCCAAACCCAAAGCTTTCAAATCTTACTTTTCCAACAAAAGGAGAGGGAAAAGCAAAGCTTCCTGCTCCACTCACAGGAGGGATCTCTGGGCTGGTGACACAAAGGTTTCACACTTCCCTAGTGGATGTTATCCAGGAATTACAGCTCTGGAATCAGCTCCTGGGGGGGTGGAATCTCCCCCTTCCCTTCCCCAAACCAGCAGAGAGGGGACACTCACAACCACCCTGGGGGTCCCCAGAGCCCCCCTCCCAACATGCAGGGAGAAGGGAGAGACACCCACATTCCATTTAAAACAAAACCAGGCTTCCAGGAAAACTTGGGATTCTTCCCCTGCGCTGCTGTTGTGCCAAGTTTCCTTCCAAGTCCAACTCAGCAGTGAATTTTCCTGCTGGAATTGAAGCAAGAGGGAATCAAACTGTTCTTCCAGCCCCTGAGGAGAGCAGGATTGGCCACAAGTTGGTTTGTTTGGTTTTTTTTTTTTCCACGGAAAAAGCCAGAAGATTCCAAGTCAAGGTTTAAAAATTAAAAATTTTATATATATTTATATATATATATATATAAAAAAATCACTCTGTTCCCTACTTTTTCCAGCTCTCCTCTTACAGTTTGTGGTTTGGCAACAGGATCATCCCATGGCAGGAATTCTTCCTTAAGGAGACGGTGAGTGAGCAAATGTAGTGAAAACACACAGTTCCTCAGCAATTCCCTGATGAAATCCAGGGATTCTCCTACGTCCAGACGACAATAAGGAACTCCTCTCTATGGGATAAAATTCCATGGACAGTGTGGGGCAGGTTTTCTTCCCCAAAAAAACCTGTTGAAACATCAATTTGTGGCAGCACAGAAAACCCACCAGCTGGAAAATTGGTGCATCCAGAAGAAAGCTACATGGATAATATTTTTATGGCTCGTTAATTATCCCGGGATAACGGGGGGGAGGGGGGTTATGGGTCACACTGACTTCATTGCACAGTTCACAGGAGAGGGAAGATTCCAAACAAACGTGGGAATCTCCACGTGGAGCACCCTGGACTGGAGACGTGGTAACAACCCTCCAAGACCAGCCAAAATTCCTCCAAAAAGGAGGAAAACCACCGGCTCAGGACAGGGATTCTTACTCAAGCATCCTCCAGGATTGTATTGACAGGGATAACGCTTGGAAGAGCTTCTCCCAGTACTTAAAAATCTCAATAGTTTTGTGTCTGATAGAAAAAAGTCACGGCAGAGAATGAAGTAAAACCAGTCACAGCCACCTTAAGAAGCGTGGAAGGGCTGTCTGAGATCCAGCCAGGAATCCCTCCCACGGAAATCCACTTGGGAGCGGCTCCGGGAACACGGGGGCCTTCGGTCTCGTGGCACTCAGGTCCTGGAGCTTCCAGAACAATCCCACAGGGAGGAGGTGTCCAAACCACACCATCCTCCTCCTCCTCCACGGCCACCCATCCTCGGAGCTCCCCTTCCAGAGGGTGGGAAGAGTTTGGAGAGTTCTTGGAGAGAAAGACTCGGCTGTTTTCCTTTACACGTGGATATTGTGGAGCTTTATGGTGTCTCCCCTAAGGCTTGTTTTACTCGGAAAAAGAAGGGAATATGTTCAACTCTGGGAATTCTTCGTTGTTGTAGTTGGGCCCTTGGTCTCCCAGCATGGTCAGCATGTCCTGAGAGGAGGAGACAAGGACAGAGTCAGGATCTGGAATATCAGGGAATATCAGGCACCAAACCAAGCCTCGAGTGGTGCCCGGGAGGTTTGGATTGGAAATTCGGGACAATTTCTCCATGGAAAGCATGGCCAGGCATTGGAACAGGCTGCCCAGGGATGTGGTAGAGTTGCTGCCCCTGGGGCTGTCCAAAAATACGTGGCTGTGGCACCTGGGGACACAGTTTAGTGGTGGCCTTGGTACTGCTGGGGGAACAGTTGGACTTGATCTCAGGGGCTTTTCCATCCTCAACAATTCCATGATTCCATGATCATGTTGGCAATTTACTCGTGGGTTTGCTGGAGCAGGTACTGAGGACCAAGATGGTCCTTTCCCCAAGGGAACACAGGGTCTGTGTCCAGGGCAAACTTAAGGAGCAGCAAATTTAAGGGATAGTCGGCGACTCCTGGGAAAGGAATTCTCAGGAATTATCTTAATTTTATTGGATTGGGGCTTTTCTTTTGTTATTAATTAGAACCAGAAGGGTTAATCCAACTGGAATTTCACACTGATCCTGCAACAGACCAAGACACACAGCCAAGTCCTGCCCTCTCCACTTCCACCTCCATCAGGTTATCCCGAAGTTTGGGACCTCCCCAGTTGATCTGAACCAGAGGGACAAGCTCCAGGCGCCTCAGCCCCGTGGACCCCACCGGATTTGGGAGGTTAAAAAGCCCCATCTTACTGGGAAGACCTCAGGCTGGCTGGGCTGGGGCTGCTGCACGTGCTGCTCCCCGGATCCCGGGCCGTGGTGCTGCCCTTGCCACTGGGGCCACATTCCCACGGCGTCGGCGGCGCGGGGCTGGAACGGGGCCGGGGTCTGCGCTGCCTCCGTGCCTGCTGGACACACAACACAGTCAGGGCATCGCTCCTGGGCTTCTCCAGTGCTTCTGGGGCACTGGGAAGGGCACAGCTCTGGGTGGTGCCCCGGGAGGGTCACCCTACAGGAATTCCTGTCGTGGGTTTGTTGCCACGGGGCAGAACAAAGGGACGCCCAGAGGGGGTTTTGTTTCCTCCCAGTCAGCCTTGACTTGGTTCAAAATTCATCTGCTGGGACGATCCCAGATCCTCCTGAGCTGGAAGGGATCCACAAGGATCACTGAGCCCAGCTCTGTGGTTGGAGGGTGATTAAGGGCGACCAGTCAAAGGAGGGATCCAGCTCTGCTCTCCACGTTTGGGAGCTCCCCCAAAACCCCTGGAGAGCACATCCCAGCCCAGCTGTACCCACGGGGTGCCCCCAGCTCCCTCAGCCACACTCACTGAAGCCGGAGCCACGGCCGGCCAGGGCCGGGTACGGCGCCGCGGTGGGAGAGGCCGTGGATCCTGGAGCCGTCA